TCCAGAGGTTTTGATGAGAACTTTGCCAAAGGCATCCATCCATCCATCCATCCATCCATCCGGCTGTCCACTTAGTGGGACACTGGGTATCCCACAATACTTAAAAACAAAACAAAACAAAAACAGATTTAAAACGGCCAAACTTATTGTGCCTGAGTAATAAAAACTTAACATGACAGCTACAAGATGATCTCACCCAACGTCCTGACCCAGTGCCCAGAGGAAGAGTATTCTAATCATGAAAACATTAATATAAGAAAAGATTACTTCAGATAATTTGCTTCTGCTTAGAAAAACAATGTTAGATTACATTTAAAAATTCTCATCAGGAAAATTCAGAGCCAGGAAATCAAATTGCTTGACATTTTAAGAGTAGTTAAGCATATAAATAGCTGATGCTTACTGTATGTTATAGCTCTAGAAAATACAGGAAGATTATGGACGCTACCAACAGAATCTTCCCATAATACCAAAAGGTTAAATCATTCTAATCCACAGGAAAAGAACACAATGTGTATTGTTAAAATAGTCCAAAATTTATAGTTTGTCCTTGATTATAACCAAAGGAAATTCCACAGCACTTGAACCTTTCTTCTTGTCTCCATCTCCTGCTTTTTGTACCACTTAGCTCAACAAAAGTGTTAGGAAACTCAAAAGTCTGCACATTCTTTTGTGCCATTTTTGGTGGTCCTAGTAAAAATACTGCCCACTCTGGACTGTGTGTTCTACTCCCTGTTTAAATAGGCATTTTATGAGAACAATATACTGCAACATATGAATAGAAACTTATAGTGCATGCAAGAATGGAAGGATAACCTTGTAACATCAATGAATTATCTAGTCCAATATCCAGGCTCCAAGAGATCTCAGTTTTGGGATGCTCAAGAGGATACACTATGAAACTTGGCATGAGTAACATCTGGGTAGTCCACTAATTGCTATTAATACTTCTGAGCAAGCCACAGTTATGGGAAAAGCACAAGAGAAAGTAAACATAAATAGCAGCAGAACTGCGTATGTTCATGGTCTGATTGGTAGACCTTCAGGCTGGGGCAGAAACAAAATATTAAGGATAGGAGAGACAAGAATGCTGATTGGTTCAGCAAGTAGATTTGGAACAAGCCCAACAGCTGTCTGGTTCAGGAAATGGGTTAAGGAAAATGTTGCAATATTCCTAACATCTGCTTAGAAATCCTTGGCACACTCTGAATGCACCAGCTTAAATAAAAAGTGTTAATTAGTAATGAACCCAAAATAATCAGCACAACATTTTAATTTACTGCTTGCAGCTTTAAAGACTGCAGGACAGCAATAACAAATTACATATAGGTAGTCCTCAAGTTACGACTACTCATGTAGTGACCATTCAAAATTATGACAGCACTGAACAAGGGGGACTTAATACTGGTCCACAAAGTTGCAGCTGCTGCAACTACCCCACAGTCACGTGATCACAATCTGGGCGCTCAGGAACCTGGTCATGATTATGATGTCGCAGTGAGCCACAAGAACGTGATCACAATTTGCAACCTTCCCTGCCAAATTCTCACAAACAGAATAAATGGAAAAGCCAGCAGAGAAGGTCGCTCCTGCTGCTTTTTCTCCTGAGGAGCCCCAGGGATCTTGTACTCTGTAGCCCCAGCACCACCTGCCCACACTCCGTAGCATGCATCCACCCGCAGCACCCTGCCTGCCTGCACTCTGTAGCGCACACCTGCCTGCAGCACCCCCTGCCTGCCCACGCTCCCTAGCACCTGTCTGTGGCACCCCCATCCCCATGGCGCTCCCACGGCACCTGCACACTCAACTGCGGCTTCTTCCAGCTTAATGACCTGCATAGTCCTGGGGTTACGATGGCAACCGGGACTGTGGGATTGCCGTTGCTAAGCAATGCAGTCATGTAACGTGCTTTACGACCGCATTGCTTAGCGACAGAAATTCCAGTCCCAATTGCCATTGTAACCCAGGGACTACCTATATATGAAAGTCATTTTAGAACATTCCTGTCTTTAATTTCAGTGTTACAATGATTGACTTCTCAGATAAATATTATTTGTAAAATTACATTCCACCAAAATATAATTTTGAAGTATTTGCTCAGAATCTAAGACTTAATTCAGATAAAACAATATATAAGGGGTTATTTACTACAGGCTATAGTGTTAATACAGTTTTCTACCCAATGTGCATCATTCTGAGGACATGTATATCCTGCCCTGATTTTATATTCAGAAAATATTAAATCAACTATTTATCTATTACAGAATTATAGTCCCAAAAGGGGGTTGGATTTTAACTTTGGAAGCTGATGTCTATTTCAACATTGTTCTACCTAATTAAAAACCACCACAGTTGCCTCACTTGAAAAATACATGGGTTTTTGGCAACTGCTCATATGTTTTCATTCTGCCTCTCATGTACAGGAGCCACACTCATCAATTTAACATGGCCTTTTAAACTATTCTCACTCTTCTACTTCTTTGATGCTTTACATTTTTTACTACAGGTAGTTCTTGTTTAACTACTGCCCTGTTTAGTAACTGTTCAAACTTACGATAGTGCTGAAAAAGTATGTTTATGACCAGTCCTCAAACTTACAATGGTCACAGCGTCCCCAGGGTCATGTGATCACGATTTGGGCTCTTGGCAACCAGTGCATATTTACAATGGTCGCAGCATCCTGTGGTCACATGGTCGCCATTTGTGACCTTCATAGCCAACTTCCAACAAGCAAAGTCAATGGGGAAGCCAGCAGTAAATTGCAAGTTGTGATGACATTACATCACACTTAATGACCACAGGAGATTCACTTAATGTTCACAGTGGAACTGACATTGTAAGTTAGGTGTGGTCACAAGTTGTTTCACTTAATGACCACATCACTTAGCGACAGAGTTGCCAATCCCAATTGTGGTCCTTAAGTGAAGACTACCTGTACTGGTTTTGATGTTTGAATTTGTTACCCCCGATCTTTATTTATGTATGTATTCATTATTAAATTTGTATGCCACCCATCTCCCCCCAACGGGTGTCTCTGGGCGGCTCACAATTAAAATCAGAAACCCCATCAACAATTCAAAATCCCCCATAAATAGTTAAAATAAATTAATCCATTAAAAATCAAATAAAAACTATAAACCCTGTACATAAATACAAAGAACATTCTGGATGGCAGGGGGGCAAGGTCAATCACCCCACAAGCCACCTCCACTGCTGCAAGCCCCCATCCGGCCACCAGGCCTTCTGCACAGCCAGGATTTCACCCCTTTCCTGAAGGCCATGAGAGGGGGCACACCGGACCTCGGAAGGCAGATTGTTCCATAGGGTGGGGGCCACAGCAGAAAAGGCCCTCTGCCAGTTGAAATTCCTTGACTAGTGGGGTCTGCAACATGCCCCTTCTACTGGACCAAGTGGGGTGGGCTGAAGTAACTAGCTTTGATCCCAAAAGGGCACTCTAAGCAGGGTATTTATTGTTGTCAGGTCTAGCCCAAAGAACTCCAAGAGACAATGCAAATCCAGTTTTACTGTGTTTATTAGCTACAACCTCTAGACAGAAAAT